CGGCTAGAGCCCGAGCTGGCTACGGACAACGCGCAGTGCCGAGGAAATCCCATGAGCACCTCCTTCTTGATTGCACAAAGTGGCCTCAAGTCCCAATTGGAGTCCCAGACCATGTGGACCACCTCGTATTGATCAGGAAGATAAGCGCGCCGATCTCGGGACCATCTCTGAATCGTCTATGGACTTGCTGTGGCTAGGCCTGCGGGCTAGTAAGGGGCACTCTGTTCGCGTCGCTGGAGGAAACTGCAGGCCGGGCCCTTAGACGAAGTCCTGGCGCACCCCGGGGCCACCCGCGAGCTTGCAGGAGCCTTCGGAACCTCGAGAGCCTCGATGAGATCGCACTTGGCCTTGGGCCCCACGAGCACCCCGGGGAGCTCGAGGACTGGCTCTCTCCAAGACAACCAATGCAACCGTGGCCTTCTATATCCCGTGAAGAGGGAGTTGCACACGCTGAGGGGTCCAACCTGGAGGGCGCGGGAGAACGAGGAGGGGCTCTGCGCTCATCGAGAACGTTTACCACGAATCAGTACACCGGCACCTTCATGACACGGGCGAGCGCGCGCACCACCTTGAGTATGCGCGTGAACAGGCTGCTCCAAGCGCCGCGCGCGCCCTGTCGAGCAGCGTTCACCCCACTCGCGTCCTGGCACGGGCCCCCTCCTGCAACGACCACGCCGATGACTCGATCTTGCAGCATTGCAAGAGCTTCGAGCTGTCGGTCGTGAATATCTTCGACAGGGCCCATCCCGATCAGGACGGGCCAGCGCGACCGCAGCACCTGGCGGGCCCCCTTATCGACCTCGCTGCTACTGCAGCCTCCGACGACGAAGCCCGCGCGCGCCAGCGAGATAGCAGCACCGCCAACGCCGTCGAACAAGCTTACAAGGAGGACACGCGGCTCCTGGCCCTTGGTCTCACTCAAGGGATCGGCAACGTCTCAACCACGCACTGCCCCGAGTAGCCGGCGACGCGATGGGGCCAAGTCTCGTGGCTTCCTAGACTCGTCAAGAACTTCGAGGCCCCATCCGCCAGGCCAACAGCAGTGCGAATGCCAGCCTCGCCCTCACTGGCATCAGAACAGGATGCAATGCCCGTGCCCACCGCTCGCAGGCTGGTGAACGCGAGGGGCAACAGGAGGCAGCTGTGCATCAGCTCGTCCAGACTAACCCTCGTGGGCAGCGCGCGGCCTGACCCGAACTGCTCCCACGCCGAATTGAACACCCCGAAGAGAGGCCGCCGAAACTCCAGCGCGCGCGCCCAGCGACCCACGAGGACGAGAAACTGGCTGCCCAGCGGGCGATCCCTCCACAGGAGGGGCGAGGCCGCACAGCTGCTCGTTTTTGACTCGGCTGTTCGCGGCCCTGCCCGCGATGTCATCCACCTCGACGCCCATCCACGTGACCAGGAGCTGCCTCTGGTTGAACTTGTCAGCGCTGGCGGGGATCGCGTTCTTCTCGCAGCTCTTCCGCATCTGAGCCTGCAAACGGCCAGGAGAGCCCACCTGCGCCAAAGACTCGCTGTAGCTGACCGTCTCGCAGTTGTCGAAGTCGTCGACGCACGCACTCCACCACTCGCGAGTCCCCTCGTGGGACAGAGGAGCAGGAGCTGCAGCAGGAATGGGTCGGTCTCGCCCCCAACTCGAGATCGGCAGGCAGGTCGGCCCCAGCAGGACTCTTCAACAGCGCCACGCGCCGAAGGATGCCCTGGAAGATGGGGGCGCTGCACATCCACCCCCAAGGCGCAGGGATGCGGCACACGAAGAAAGCCCCTTCCTGGTCATCTCCGCCCCTGAGCAAAGCCTCGCCAGGACCAAGGGAGTTGCTGACCCACGCCAGAGACGGGCTCAACGCAATCGAGCCCCCAACCAGCGGACGGAGGCATGCGTTCGCGGGGGCCACGTTGAAGATCAGGCGCGCGTCTCCGACCTGACCCTCGGCCGGGGCCCCGGACTCGTTGACCGCAAACAAGCCGTTGGTGACCCGACGACCGCGAGCCTGGAAAATACGCTCAGCGGGAAGCGGAGCCAGAAACCTTCGCTGCACGAGCCTGGCGGCGATGGTCCACGCCCCCGTTCTCGGGGGCGACTCGTGCCACTCGGACCCCAAGGGGAGCGAGAACTCGGGCCTGGCGCGCAACTCCACGAGCCCCGGTCCCACGCAGCTCAGCACATCCAAGCGCCCGATGTCCTGAGCCTTAGGCAAGCTGGGCTCATGCCCCCTGAACTTCAGGGCCAAGGCACGGCAGTCCTCGTCAAGGTTGTAGCTCGACCTGGTCTTCATCAACTCCTGGGGCCAGTAGGGCATGTCCACCTGCGTCGGCGCGTCGCCCACGCGCCGCGCGACCGTCTCACCGATCGCGCGCAGGCTGGCGGCCTGGACCTCTGAGAGACGACCTGCAGCCCCCCAGCGATCCTTGCTCAGGTGGCCCACGCACACGTAGTTCAGCCCCGCGGCGCCGAGGAACACCCACGCTTCAATTGCCGCGTCCTGCGCCTGCTTCTTAAGGCAGGAGCCCATCTCGTAACATTCACTGGGGGGCCCTCACCATTTAGCAGACCTCTCCGCGTCGCGCCGACGCCAGCCCCCGGCACGTGTGGCGCGACGCCCATAGGGAAACTTCTCACAAACTCTCCGATGCAACTTGGCATCTTCCTGAAACTGGTGAAGGCCCCGAGACCCATCTCCACAGTGGTCATCCTGCTCGGTCCGCTGCGGCACGCACGGGGCGCGACACTTGCCCCCCACTGGCCCAGCGTCAGCGCGGCCACCTCGCTGCCAATGGCCGCGCCCAGCTCCGAGCTCACGCGACCGGAAGAACCGCCTCGTCGGCCCCCCAGCCTTGGCCGCATTACTGGCCGCTCCGCGGCGCTTGAAGACCTGCACCACGATCCTCTGCTTCAGCTGCTTCCTGCCCCACCCATCGGACCGCGGGGCCTCCGCGCGCGCCCGCGCCCACGGTGACAGGGATGAACCGACCGCTGCCCCAGGGCTCGGGCGGTCCGTCAGCGCGGGCACGCGGCCCACCGGCGACGGCGACGCAGAGGCACCCCGCAAGGCAACAGGGGAGCGGCCACGGGGAGGCCGCGCCCACAGGCGGCTGCGGAAAACCGCGGCGTCCGCGGCAGCGCCGACGTCGGTGATCGGCCGCGCTCTCAAGTCTGGGCTTCCGCCGCGTCTCGGGCCTGCAGGGCGGTCGGCCAAGCTCTCGTCGCCGCCCCGGCCAGCCTCCCAGCCGCGGACTCCGAGGCGCCCGAGCATCTGCGCCATGCGCACCCCGGCGGCCTCGAGCTCCTCGTCCTCGACCGACAGGGTCAGCCCCCCGCCGTCGGGTGGGATGAGCCCGAACCACTTCCCAATCCTGGAATGTCCATCTCGCACGGTCTTATGCCTTGATCCTGCAGAAAGTGTAATCCTACGCGAGCGAAACTTTGCCAGACACTATCAAGTCGGCACTCTCCGCCAGAGCGCGCAGCTCTCGGCAACGCCCCTCTCCGATCTCACGCATGGGACGAGCTGGCCACAACGCTCGGAGGAGGAACTTGACGGCGACGGGGCTGGACTGAGCAGCGCCCCAGGCATCTCCGTCGCCCAGGAACCGAGCCATGTTCTTCATCTCCTTCTCCGAAAGGCGACCCGGGCACCTCTCAACGATCTTCTTGTAGGCGAGGCGGCGGGCAGCAATGGGGCGGCCTCAGGGCGGCCGCTCCACGTCGCTGTCCAAGGGGTCGTCGTCGTCGCAAATAGCTGGCGAGCGTCTTCAGGATGGAAAGCTCACCGGCCCCGCTATCGTCGCTGGCGCCCGTCGGTCCGTCAGCGGCAGCAGCCGGCGCCTGGCCTGTCATCCTCGCGTGCACGACCTCGCCCAACTTCATATTCTTCTTGGGCGCCTCAATCGGACATGCACCTGACGCGGTGCCCGGCCCGCGGGTCTCCGCGAGCCTCTCTCTCAACTTGTTCGCTCTCGCCATGCAGTCACCCTTGGCCGAGACCTTCGCGCCCTCCGACCTGTTGGAGAAAGCCTTCAGCTCCCTCTCGAGCCCCCCGAAGGCCTCCTTCTCCGCCCCCTCTTCAGCGAAGTCCCCCAGGTCGTCCTCGCCGGGCACGGCAGCGGCGGGACGCTTCCTGGCGGGGCCAGCAGCAGCTCTGGCGGCCAGGGGCTTCTCGCCATCCTCGGCCTCGAACTTCGTCTCGTCGATGGCCGCCTGAGTGACATCTCTCGGCAGCTCGGGGCACTCGGGATCCATCGCTAGAACTGCCATGCGTCGCTCAACTGCCTGGGCGACCGACAGTCGCTAGGCCGCGCGCGCGCGAAGGACCCGGCAGCCCGCCCGCGGCGCCACATACCTGAACCGCGGCACTGGCCCCCGGCCAACGCGTAGGATCATCTTCTCACGCTTCGCTTGCCAATGCGCCAACTGAGCCACCACGGGATGCACTCGTCGTTGGCTCCGAAATACTCAACCTCGTAGGCCGCCCCTCCTGGGTTGTCCGTCATCAGGCGGCGCACGATGCCCCCAGCCCATCCGCCATCTGACCTGTCATCGCGTGCAACGAACTGGCGCGCGCAGGTGCCGGGCTCCATCGGCGTCGAAGCGCCCTCCGCCATCGCGTTGCCTGGTCGACGGCCAGGCCAGGGAGAGACGGCAGAAGGTGCGCGGCTGACAAAATACGCCCTGTGCGCAGGGCTGGCGTCTAGCTCGAAACGTCCCCAACCGCTTGCGCCGTGCACCTGCGGGTCGAGACGGCGGCGATTTTCCTAAGAGGCCCAAACATCCACCCAACCCCGAGGGTGTTATGTTACAGCCCAATGCAGCTCTTACGACTGCCCCATCATACGGCTCCTAGAACAAAAAACAGTAGCACAGCTCTAAACACCGTCACATCCGCTCCCCCTGTAGCTCTGACAACAGCTCCGAGTGCAATCGCTGCAAGACCTTCTTTTTCAAGTTCCTATCGCAGCTCCAACATCAGCTCGTCACGCAGAGAAGTAGGAGGGAGGAGAAGCAGAAACGAGGAGAAAGAGGAACGGCGTAGGCCGCACAAGGCTCCAAAGGGCAACCGTCTTGGGAGCGCGCCGCGGGCGGCCTTGCAACGTGATCCCTGTGGAAAGCAGTCCAAGGACGACGCGGCGACTACGACAGATGACGACGAGGAGTACGACGGATGACGACGACGACGACGACGACGACGACGACGACGACGACCACGACAACAACGACGACAACGACGACGACAACGACAACGACGACGACGGACGACGGGCGACGGACGACGGACGTTGAACGACGGACGGCGACGACGACGGCAACGACGACGACGACGGACGACAGAGAATCGACGCAAGATGACGGACGACGGACGACGGACGACGAACGACGGATGGCGGACGACGGACGACGGACGACGGACGACGAAAATAACGAGGACGACGAAGGATGGAAGATCAACGGGCGACGACTGACGACGGAGGACGACGACGACGACCACGGACGACGGATGACAACGACGATGACGGACGCCGGACGACGACGAAGACGACGACGACGACGACGACGACGACGACGACGACGACGACGGACGACGGACGACGGACGACGGACGACGGACGACAGACGACGACAACGGACGACGGACGACGGACGACGACGACGACGGACAACGGACGACGGACGACGGAGGACGACGACGATGACGACAACGACGACGACGACGGGCGACAGACGACCGACGCCAGATCACGGACGACGGACAGACGGACGACGGATGGAAGGACGACGGACGACGGACGACATAAGGACGACCGAAGACAGACGACGAACGACGGGCGACGACGGCGACGACGACGACAACGGACGATGGACGCAGGACGACGAATGACGACGACGACGGCGACGACGACAACGGAGGACCGAGCATGGACAATTGACGACTGACGACGGACGACGGACGACCACGATGACGACAACGACGACGAAGGATCGACGACGGAGGACGGAGCACCGACAACGGACGACGGAAGAGCGACGACGGATGACGGACGACGGACGACGGACGACGGATGGAACGACGACGGACGACGGAGATCGGGCGACAGACGACAAACGACGGACGACGGATGACGGACGACAGACGACGGACGACGACGACAACGACGACGACGGACGACGAGGCCGACGAAGGACGACGACGACAACGACGACGGCGACGACGACAACGACGACGACGACGACGACGGAGGACGACGGACGACGGACGACGGACGACGGACAACGGACGACGGACGACGGACCACGGACGACGGACGACGACGACGGCAACCACGACGACGGATGACGAACGACTGACGACGAACGACAGATGGAAGGACGACGGACGACGGACGACGGACGCCAGACGGACGACGGAAGACGGACGACGGACGATGGAAGACAAACGTCGGACAACGATGATGACAAGGACAACGACGCACGAGGGACGAGGAACGACGGACGACGGACGACAGGCGACGGACGACGGACGACGACGAAGACGACGACGACGACGACGACGACGACGACGACGACGACGACGACGACGACGACGACGACGACGGCGGACGACAGGCGACGGACGACGGACAACGACGAAGGACGACGGACGGCGGACGACAGACGACGGACGACGGGCGACGGACGAAGGAGGACGGACGTCCGACGACGGCGACGGACGACGGAAGACGGAAGACGACGACGACGACGACGACGAGGCCAACGAGGCCAACGACGACGGAGGACGACGACACGACGACGACGACGACGACGACGACGACGACGACGACGACGACGACGACGACGACGACGGCGGACGACGACGACGACGGACAACGACGGACGACGGACGACCACGACGACGACGACGACGGACGACGACGACGGATGACGAACGACGGACGACGGACGACAGATGGAAGGACGACAGACGACGGCGGACGACGGACGGCAGGCGGACGACGGACGACAGATGGAAGGACGACGGACGATACCGACGATGATGACAAGGACGACGACGGACGACGGACGACGACGACAGCGGACGAACTACGGTCAACGGACGACGGACAACGACGACTGACGACGGACGACGACGACGACGACGACGACGACGACGACGACGACGACGACGACGACGGACGACGGACGACAAGCGACGGACGATGAATGACGGACGACGGGACGACAAAGGATCGGGGCGGAGGAAGCCGCGAGCCGCCGCGGGCCGCCTGCCGCGAACAGCCCTGAGACAGAACGGCCAGAACGGCCGCGCGAGCGCGCCTCGACACCGCCCGCGGTCGGTCATCCTTGGTTGGTCGCTGTCGTCGTGCTCGTCATCGTCGACCCCGACTTCGTCGATGTTGCCGCCGCCGCCTCCGACCGTCATCCATCGCTGCGCCGCCAATCGAAGGTCGCCAGGTTGACGTTTTTGAGGCGAGGATCGAAGCATCTGGCAGCGGGCCTTTCTGAGCCTTCGGAGGCCTACTGGAACCCTCGGGGACCCCTCCTCCAGAGACCTCTGGAGACCTTGAGACCGTCGTCATCGCTCTCCGAAGGCCATGGATCAGAACCAGAAAGCAGCTGCGCCCGCGCCCCTACAGTCCCCGAGAGGGTGGACAAGGAGCAGGACGCGGGTTTCAACCCTTACACCTGGGCAACGTGAAATAAAATCACCACCGGCGGATTTGACCGTCGGGCCCAATACTCCCCCCCCACACTCGAATCGATCCTGCACGGAAACCACGAATACCGATGGGGTGCAGAACGTTATGGTCTTGGCTTTTGTTCACGATGTTGCGGCTAATCCACGAGGGTCGAAAATGTTGAAGACGGAGCTGGCCAGCCTCAAGATCCCGGGCAGATGAAGGGGGGAGGATGGGGGGCGGGGGAGGTAGTAAGTGTTTGAAGGGCTACTGGGAAAACTTCAACGGAATCAGATTGTGCCCATCCTGCCAAAACCGCGGGAGGCGAGAAGGCCCTGCCGCAGCTCTTGCGTCAAGACAGCGCAGCATCCGCCGCAGCCCGGCGCGAAGCCGTGAAGCCATGCTGCGACGCCACTCGAGGCCACGGCACTTGTGACCGACGCCTGGCAGGAGGCCAAGGCGCCCTGAGAGAGACTAGGAAAGGATCGATGTATACGATCGGAAGTTTTTGCTTAACGTGTCGCGGTGGCGGCCGCAGCGACACGCTATGCCCTGCAAGCGGATAGCGTGTCGCTCTGCTCCACAGGGCGGGAAGCTCGGAAAAGCTCGGGACGATGACGCTCGGGAACGGGGAAGTGGTAAGCGCGTCGCCTCGAAGCGTGGTGGACCAGAACTGGCGGAGCGACACACTAACCAAACATTCCCGCCCTTACACCACGTCGCTGTGTCGGCCAAGGAGCTCGATGAATAGACGGCCCAACTGCCCAACGTGTGGGACGATGGATCGCGGCTCCCTGGCCGACTAGACAACGTGGTGTATACATCGGGCTCCTCCGAAAGACAGGTCGTGCACCCCTGGGCTCTCCAGCTTATCGTTCTCGATCGTTCCGTTCAAGCCCAAAACACAGAGAGGGCCCTGGGAAACCGAGCAGGGCGAATACCCCTCCAGACCTGTTTGTTCATCACCGTGAGATTCGTCTCTCGAAGAGGCTTCGGGGTGCACCCAAACATTCTACTGGGGGGGGGCCTGGAGGCCGAGCGAGGCGAAAAACCCTGAGGACCTCCTTCGCGCATGGTGAGCCTCGTTTCTCTTGAAGGAATTGTGGTGCACCTCGCATAGAAAAGAAAAACAAACAAACAAGCAAGCAAGCAAGCAAACAAACAAACAAACGTAAAACGTCAACATAAACCTTCGGAGGTCCGAGAGTTGATGTTTGTGCTGTTCTTCTGCGATGAGTCTTCGGGGCGGCCCGTGGAGGCCGAGCTAAGCGAAACCGCTCAGGACCCCTTTCCTTCATGGTGAGCCTCGTCTTTCCTGAAGCCCTTGGGCTTACCGAAAGGACTCGGGGGAGGCCCTGGAGGGGGGTGCCGCACAAGCGGGTACGGAACGGGCTGCAGGCGTCCTCAGGCCTCGCCCCGCCGTGTCCATGGTTGCCTGAGCGGCGACCCGCCGGTCATGGCACCACTTTGTAAGTCCCGGGAGGGTCTGCATCTTTCCCGCGGGCAAGGGGGCCCTGCTGTCCGCGCGAGGCAGTTGTAAGGCAAATTTCAAATCAATTGCGCGGCGAGCTTGCCTCGGCAAGCATTCTGCCGCGACGCCAGGAGCTGCTCTGACGGCACTTCCCGCGCCGCAGTGCACTGGACCCCTCGGCGAGATGGGAAGTGGTGGCATCACTGCACATCTCCGGAATCTCCTCCTGGGGTCGCAGAGCGACCGGTGCGGGCCCTCTTCGCGGGTAGAGCCGGAGCACTAAACGGCCTCCTCCTCGCAGAACAAGCCGCGGCCGAACTCCTCGTGGATCTGCCAGCCGCAGGCGCCAGAATGGCCGTCGTTCGTCGCCGCGCCTGGGGCGGCTCACCCGGGCTGCCTCTCCCACGAGCAGCCGGAGTCGCTTCGCGTGCCTCTGGGGTGATCGCCGCCTCAGCCGTGCGCCGCCGCCATGCTGTCCCTGGGACGTCTCCAGCAGCCCGCTTGGCCCTTGTCAGGGCGTCCGACAACTGGGACGACACCGCGGCCGCGGTGGCCTGCCCTCGCGTTCGTTTCCCACCTGCCGCCCGGTTGAAGCCGCGGACCACTCGCGGTGGATCCCCAGGGGTGAATGGATCGGTCTCGAGCTTGCGAACGAACTGATAAAAGCAAGAGGCGCCACAGCTCACGCAAGAGATCGCCGTGCGCTGCAAGGCGCATGCCCTCGCAGCTGGGAGCACACGGCATGGCGACAACGGACCGGCCGCGGTCGCGTCCGAATCGGCTCCGGAGCGAGGCGCCGGGCGGGCGACGATCGCGTGCACGGGGGGCGACCTGCCTCAGGAGAGCGGTGGGCGATGCCTCCCCCGCCGGCGTTCCTGGGCGCCCAAGGGGACGGGAGGAGTGGATACTCCACGGGGGTACCCCGAATACGTCTGCCACGCTGTACATCATGCTTTCTCTGCGCTGGAATGGGTGGAGCGGCCAGACTATTATGTCTCTGCGACTGAGTTGCTGGTGGGCTTCGTGCACAGGGAAGGCCCCAGAGGCTGGAGAGTCGAGCAGCGGAGCCGATCCGCAAGCTCTCCCCG